TAGATGGACCATCGGTCTGACCCAGTATGGCCGTTCTTATGTTCCTTTCTCTGGTAAGAGACTGAGTCTCAGGGTGAGAATAGGGAGAGTAGTAATGTTTTCTCAGGTAAATGTGGAGTGTTTAGCATTATATCTCGTACATAAAATAAAGTCTTTGAAAGGGGAGTTTTTTTCCAAAATAAATGGATGAAAGTACTCTTTTTCATTAGTCAGCAGGGAAATCTACCTCTCAAATCTAGGAGGTCTGCGTGCTCAAACCCAAGTTCCTTGCATCCCCAATACTCCTATTTAAGTCAACAGACAGACAGCTGCAGCGGCACAGGAGCCAGCAAACAGAGCTGTAAACGGGAGTTTGAGTGGGACTTCTGTTGAAGGAGAAGGTATTTGTAGCTATTTGTAGCTGTATTGGTATGTGTAGAGGCTGGTAGGGGCAGTGTGCTGGGAGAGAAGCTGAGCCCTGATTAGGGGGCGGGGCTTCTCTGACTAGGGGTCCTATAAAGGTAGCCAGCCAGTCAGGCAGCAGCACAGGAGCCAGCAAACAGAGCTGTAAACAGAGGAGTTTCAGTGGGAGTTTGCAAGGGGAGTTTGGGGGGAAGACTAAGAGGCAGGCAGAGGAACAGACAGGCTAGTGAAGGGAGTGTGCGGTGTTCTAGCAGTGTTTTGGTGCTCTTTGGGGGTTTGTTTTGCTGTGGGTGGTGGTGGTGTGGTTTGTTTTGTTTCCCAGATTTACAGGATTTAGGTGAGAAGAACTTGTGGATCTAAAGGTGGAGGAGGCTTGGAATTACTTCAAGTCAAAGTTGCAGAAACTATCAGAAGCCGGCATCCCAAGAAAGGGGGAAAAATTCATAGGCAGGAGTTGTAGACCAAGCTGGATGAGCAAGCATCTCAGAGAGGTGATTAAGAAAAAGCAGAAAGCCTACAAGGAGTGGAAGATGGGAGTGATCAGCAAGGAAAGCTACCTTACTGAGGAGGTCAGAACATGTAGGGATAAAGTGAGAAAGGCCAAAAGCCATGTAGAGTTGGACCTTGCAAAGGGAATTAAAACCAATAGTAAAAGATTCTATAGCCATCTAAATAAGAAGAAAACAAAGAAAGAAGAAGTGGGACCGCTAAACACTGAGGATGGAGTGGAGGTTAAGGATCATCTAGGCATGGCTGTCAGGCTGGAGGGAGGTTACTAGGGGAGTTCCTCAGGGATCGGTTTTGGGACCAATCTTATTTAATCTTTTTATTACTGACCTTGCCACAAAAAGTGGGAATGTGCTAATAAAGTTTGCGGATGACACAAAACTGGTAGGTATTGCCAATACAGAGAAGGACCGGTATATCGTACAGGAAGATCTGGATGACCTTGTAAACTGGAGTAATAGTAATAGGATGAAATTTAATAGTGAAAAGTGCAAGGTCATGCATTTAGGGATTAATAACAAGAATTTTTGTTAGAAGCTGGGGACGCATCAGTTGGAAGTAACAGAGGAGGAGAAGGACCTCGGAGTATTGGTTGATCACAGGATGACTATGAGCCGCCAGTGTGATATGGCCGTGAAAAAAGCTAACGCAGTCTTGGGATGCATCAGGTGAGGTATTTCCAGTAGAGATAAGGAGGCACTGGTGAGACCCCATCTGGAATACTGTGTGCAGTTCTGGTCTCCCATGTTTAAGAAGGATGAATTCAAACTGGAACAGGTACAGAGAAGGGCTACTAGGATGATCTGAGGAATGGAAAACTTGTCTTATGAAAGAAGACTCCAAGAGCTTGGCTTGTTTAGCCTAAGCAAAAGGAGGCTAAGGGGAGATATGATTGCTCTCTATAAATATACCAGAAGGATAAATACCAGGGAGGGAGAGGAATTATTTAAACTCAGTACCAATGTGGACACAAGAACAAATGGATATAAACTGGCCATCAGGAAGTTTAGACTTGAAATTAGATGAAGGTTTCTAACCGTCAGAGGAGTGAAGTTCTGGAACGGCCTTCCAAGGGGAGCAGTGGGGGCAAAAGACATATCTGGCTTCAAGACTAAGCTTGATAAGTTTATGGAGGGGATGGTATGATGGGATAGCCTAATTTTGGCAATTAATTGGTCTTTGCCTATTAGCAGTAAATATGCCTAATGGCCTATGATGGGATGTTAGATGGGGTGGGATCTGAGTTACTACAGAGAATTCTTTCCTAGGTGTCTGGCTGGTGAGTCTTGCCCACATGCTCAGGGTTTAGCTGATCGCCATATTTTGGGTTGGGAAGGAATTTTCCTCACATTGGCAGAGGCCCTGGGGTTTTTTCGCCTTCCTCTGCAGCATGGGGCATGGGTCACTTGCTGGAAGATTCTCTGCACCTTGAAGTCTTTAAACCATGATTTGAGGACTTCAATGGCTCAGACATAAGTTTGATACAGGAGTGGGTGGATGAGATTCTGTGGCCTGCATTGTGCAGGAGGTCAGACTAGATGATCATAATGGTCCCTTCTGACCTTAAAATCTATGAATCTATGAACAGAAATTTAGTATGGGAAAGCATAAGGAATGCAGAATCAGCTCTGATCCTGCCTAGGAGGAAGGGTTGGAGAGAGGCAACCTCTTATTAAGCTAGATTGATTTTATTTTAGGAAGTCCATCTGGTTGACCATTGTGAAGCTTCCATCTCCTCAGTACAAGTTAGCCCAGAGATAAGAATTTCATTTGTGATCCATGAAAATAATGCTATTATAAATCTTGTTAGCATTCACATTAAAATACAAAGTATTAGAAAAATACCATGTGTAGTTAACAATAAAACTCCCCACTCTCAGTGTTAATGAATAAGGCACAGACAAGTCATTATCTTCTGACCTGATCAGAAAGGTTTACTTTTGCTCCTGAGATTTCCCACACAGAAGATATCATAAAAACAAGGGAAAATACTGCTATCTCAGGGATAGCTATGACTTGTTGACTATTCCAAGTTCTGCCACTGACTAATCTTGTGAAACAGGGCAAATCTCATACTTCTCTATGCCATCTGTAAAATAGGGGTAACAATGCTTTGTCTTTTTGAAATTTACTGATGAAATGCGCTATACAGTGCTATTATTTTATCACAAAAAACTAGTAGGGAAAAACTCTGGCTCTGTGAAATTTTCGTATATTGTGGAAAGGAACCAATTAGCACTTGTGTGCTGACATAGAGGCAATTCAGACCCATGTTTTAAAGGCACCCTCTGAATATGCTTCTTTAAGGGGTAGCCTAAATGCTATAAAGTCTCCCTGGCCTTGCACAAATACAAAGAAATTACTTCCCTTCTAAGAACACCCCCTCGGTGGTTGAATATGACTATGGGTGGGGCAGACCTGTTTTTCAACATCCAGTGCAGGAAGGGTGCTTTGATACAATGGGTGTTGAAACTGGTTGTGGATTTGGTTGGGGGGTGTGTGTGTGTGTGTGTGTGTGTGTTATGATACAATGCCTTTAATTTGGCCCTGGTGCAATCACTTACACCTGTGCAAAGTTCTGATGTGCTAATATTTTCCATACCCTTTGTACTTGCTTTGCACAGGTGTAAGTAGTCATGACAGGGGCAAGATAGCTGAGAATCAAGGCCAAGGAAGTGGCAGAGTGGACCTAAGAATAAAAAGGGGAAGAAGTAGTTTATCAAAGGCCAGGGTGATAGGGTGTTATACAGATGCAACAGCTGGGTATACTCTCAGACTCATGAGGGAACAAGCCCTTCTGTTACCTTCTATGTCAAATGGCTAATCTGAGTTGTTGAGGGAGAATTCTCCAAAACAAGCCTACGCGATTGGGTTAAGTACATGTTTTTACTGTGGGTTTTTGTTAATTGAATATAGTTTCAATTACATTCCTGCCTCTTTCATTAATGATGCCCACCTTTCTGCAGGACTCAGAGAGGGCACAGGTTTCTTAAGTTCTGTGACTCTGAAAACTAGTGTGAAATTCAGTAGTGAATGCTTGATCTTAATTTGGTAAGTCTGTCTGGTGCTTAGTGTGTGTGTCCTTGTTTGGAATTTTCTTAAGGATTGAAAATGAAGACCCACCTTTTGATAAGACAGGTTTCTTGTTTAATTTCCTAATTCTGGAAGGTGCTCAGATACAACAGTGCTGAAGAGAACAGAAATGTAGTAATTACGTTACTTTTTGGATGGATGGATTGATTAAATAGACTGAAAAAAATCACTTTTCCAGTACTATTTAGTTAGTACTATAGACTATAGGAGTTCCATCTACCCACATTATTCTTTTCTGCTCTGTGATGCAAAAATGCACTAGTAGAAGCTTGCCAGTCCTAAATTAAGATACAGCGAAGTCACAGATGGGACTAAAATGTCATTTTCTTGTGTTCTGTCAGAGAACGTAAGGGCCAATCTACACTACCGAAAAGACTGTTAACCCTAAATCCAAGTATTGTTCCTATAATACGATTACAGAATCATGTTTTCTGTGCCCCCTGGCAAATTAAGAAAAAGCCCTGGTATGACAGGGGCATCCCTAATTGTGGTAGAGAACCGCATGCTAGCATGTTTTCTTTTTAATAGTGTAGCCTGAGCCTAAGGGAGAAGCTACCTTATCTCATGCCAGCAGATTTACAAGGAAACTCTTAAGGTGTTTTAATTCCAGAGAGTAACATGAAGGTGGCAGCTAGCACAGAAAGGCATGTTTGCAGTGTTAAATCTTGTTTCAAGGAAAAATTGGGCACTCTTGGTTCAATTTAACTTTCACTTATACTTTTACTTGAGTACTAAAGAGCTCAAATCTCCCTGTTTAACATAAGCGGACATTTTAGGCTTAAGTGTAACATGTTCATCCCATTAAAAAAAAAAAAACACCCACGCAATTTTCACAGGTGAATAACAACTAAATCCAGGTCTCTATAAGGTATAATTCTATAAAGAGTATAAGTCTGATTTTTTTTTTATCCCCCCACCCCCACTTATAACACCTCTACATCAAAATGAGCATTTGGGATACACTCTGAAAGTCTTACAAAAGAAACTTGATACAGACATAACTTAAACATTCCTTTATTGTCAGTGCAGGGTGTATGAATGATCTGAAAGTGCATTTCATTTTATCTGCTGCTATGGAATAGCACTTATTCTCTCATTGAAAAACAAAACCATCTAGGATAGCAGATGAAGAGTTGCTATTCAGTCAGATGAGCTTCATCATTACTACAAAATGGAATACAAATCAAATAACTAAAATTTGAATGTTAAATATGTACATTACATTCCAAAGAAAATGTGGTTTGATAATATATGCAACAGTTTCAAACCATTTGTTCAAAATCCCTTCAATCCAATCTCAGAATAGCTGCATTTCCTTCACTGGTTTTCACCATTTTGAAACTCTAGCTTCACAAGCTGGTTCTCAAATTTTTTAACATCTACCCGATGCTTCATTAGGAACTGCCCATTTAAATGGAAGACAGGTATGTCATACTTATATCTGTCATACCACACTGCGTTCTCTGGAAGGGTGATATCCACTTCCTGCAAAATAAACTTTGAAAGAAAAGAACTAAATGTTAAACATTTTATAACATTGGACACTTAAAAAAAAATAGCTGCTGTCTTTCATCACATTTCAGATTTACTTTAACAAGATGGGTCACATTTTCAGCAGGCCCTCTATATTTGCCCTGGCATGGAAACACAGATTTTGCAGGCAGAAAATGGATGTAGCCACAAACTTTGCTTGTGTACTTCCAACGACCATCTGAATGTTTAGCCCAGCATGGTTCCCTGGATTTCCAGTGAGAAACTGTACCACATATGATCTTAGTCATTTTCTTTCTGCAGGTGGGTCGACAGTCATTTTTTGTTTTGCTCATGGGTGCAGCATTTCTTTGTGTCTAATATTGCTGGCACCACTTGCTTTAAATTCAAGCAACTGGGGTTCAAAAACTGGTCAAAGTGCACTACAGGCAGTTGACAGAATATTAGTTGGAGAGGATGGTGGGAAAGTACTCTCAAGTGACACAGAGCAAAGAATATTTGATGGACCTGCCTCAACAGTTTTGCTGCAAACTGCATTATAAACCTGAGATATATGTATATTCTAGTACAGTGGATCTCAAACTTTTGTACTGGTGACCCTCTTCACATAGCAAGCCTCTGAGTGCAACCCCCCCCCTTATAAATTAAACATTTTTTTATATATTTAACACCATTATAAATGCTGGATGCAAAGCAGGGTTCAGGGTGGAGGCTGACAGCTCGCGACCCCCCCTTATAATAACCCCATGACCCCCTGAGGGGTCCCAACCTCCAGTTTGAGAACCCCTGTTATAGTAGCAAAAGCTTTTTAAATAGCTGCAACATTGTATTCATTGGTTTAGTTTGCTAACACTTACTTGAGCCACAGAGTCTGAAAATACTTTTGAAAAAAGAGTTTTAGGAAATCAGTGCTAAAACTTTCTTGAAAAGGTTGCCCAAGATAGACTAATGCTGCAAATAACATCAAGCGATTTTTCTTTTACAAAGAAAGGTCCCCTAGAAACTATTCTTTCTATATAATATACACAGTATTGTATTTCATTACCCTGTTTTTATATGGCTCAAGCACTTCTTTTGCTTCATCACACAGAGGGCACGGGTCCTAAAGGAAAATATGCAGATCATCTTAAAAGAATAAGACATGCAGATTATTCTGTTAACTTGTTTCTAGGTATGTTACATGCTATCATTATTCCAAATGCTGGTTCTCTCCTCATTGCCACATCATTTTCAAAATCTCACTTTAATCTGCACAGCATAGATTGCAAGAGTGTAAATTCTCTTTTATATAAGTAATAAAAAGGAAATCTCCTTTTTCATCCGGTCAACACCTCTAAGATTTTTGACTCTACCTTTAATTTGTGACCACAATAAATATATTTTTGAAACGTTGCAAGTTCTAAAAGCTGACACAGCTGCATGGTTCTGAAGACAAGTTATAGGATAGTCATAGGGTTGATTTCTACAGTCACTTCCTCAATGTATAACTGGAAAACTTGACTTCCCTGGAGTCACTCCAGATAAACATCAGTGTACATTGTTTGGCATATAGTAATTTAACACAAAATATAGTCAGGAAAAACATGATGGTTCTGTCTCTTTGCCATGAAGTACTGTTCACAGATGGAAAATGTCTATTCCTTTCCTCCCTCCCCAAAGCTTTCTTAGGGTATGTCTAGTCTCTGCACACCTTTTGCTGTGTAGTCTACCAGAGCTAGATTGAATTCAGCTTGTGAGTAACAGCAGTGAAGACAATGCAGTATAGGCTTCAGCGCAGATAATACAAGCGCAGCATGGACCCTACCTAGATACACACTTGGCTCACTTGCCTGTGCTGTGCTCTCTTCACTGCTATTGTTACCCGTGCTAGCTGCAGTCAAGCTAGCTTGGGTAGGGTCAGGTAGGCTAGACAGTGAAGACACACCCTTAATGTTTGAAACCCTATGCAAGGTGCTAAAGGACAAGTTTGGGGTGCAGCTGCTGTTGTTTGTAACTTGTGGAAGAACTGGTGATGGTGAATCAGCTGAGCGTATGTGTTATTGAGAAGGGCTGACAGAATTTTGTGGCATGTAATCTGTTGTAACAGACTAGACTCTTCAAACTAAACCTACGGGATGCTCAACTCTTTATGGCTTATCACTGAAAGAAAGATTGCTAAGGTAGTGGAGCTGGTAAAATGAGCTGGTAGGGGCAGAAAGGCAGACAGAGATGCACCATTTCTCCTTACTAAGGGCTTGGCTACACGGTGCTTTACAGCGCTGCAACTTTCTCGCTCAGGGGTGTGAAAAAACACCCCCCCAAGCGCAGCAAGTTACAGTGTAAACAGTGCCGCCGTGCTCCCAGCGCTGTAAGCTTATCCCCTCGTGGAGGTGGAGTACCTGCAGCGCTGGGAGAGCTCTCACGCGCAACTACACTCGCACTTCAAAGCGCTCCCGCAGCAGCGCTTTCAAGTTTCGAGTGTAGCCACGGCCTTAGAGCTTGTCTAAGCATGCAGGTTGCACCATTAGAATTTGAATTGGTTAAAGACCTGACTTAGTTAAAACAGTGCAACTTGGTGCTTGGATACTCCTATCAGTGTAGCTATACATTTACAGGCACAATTTAAACCAGGTTTAAACTGATATAAGATTGTCCACACACAAATTTGCACCAGATTAAAGGCAGAATCACACTTTTAAGTTAACTGGGGAAACTGTGTATTTAGACCAGGCTTTTATCAGTTTGAATTCACACTTTCAGATATTTTGATGCAAGTCTGTGTAGGGACACTTATTTTGGATTAAGGGGTCTATTATTTTGATTGAACTACAGTTAAATAAACCAAGCCTTGTATTGAAATAAGTAAAGGTTTGGATCTAAAACTATTTAGCTATTTCATTTCCAGTCTCTGTGTGTGGACAAGTGCTAAGTAACAAAGCAAGTCATGGCACTTTACTCCTTTAATAAAGCCAGCATTGAGTTCCAATGGGAACCATGCCCAGAAATAATTCTGTGCTCTGACTAGCCAAGAGTCTCTGCAAACAGACTTTAAACTGCTTTAATGGGACATTCAGCAGCTTGCATATATGTTCAATTGCCCTAGCTGCAAACAGAATTTGAATTTAATACAGAAGAGATATCCAGATGTGCTGGGCAACAGAAGAGGCTGAAAGGAGCAGTTTTTATTTATACAATACATTCTCACTTATGCTGAGCCTCATTCATACTTACTCCTGTCCTTACTTAAAAACAAAACAAAACAAAAAACACAAGCCTGGGGTGAATGGGGATAAACTGAGAGCACAAATCAGTTTATTAAAAGCAGCCTGCAGTTTAGTGATATCTTGTTTTGTAAATGCCAGTGCTATGACACGTTCTGTGAGACGTGAAAAGTACTTTACCTTAAGCATGTATTCAACAAAAGAGGCCAGTTTAGAAAACTGTTTCAACTTTGCTATCAGAAATTTGGTCACAGAATTTCAAATTGCTAATCAGTATGTATGCACAATAATCATTCAAAAGAGCTTTTTCCAATTATTAATCTCTAAAATGAATGCCAATACTGCCTACGTTATTGCCCTTTGGATTATGAAAAAGCACAGTGCTGGATCAGATGGCAGAGACAGAGCTGGGACTTTAAAGTATGTTTCCTCTCATAACACACATTCCACTGATTAAGAAACAAGTGCTGACTTTTCTTTTTCCAGAAAGTCTGCACTTTTGTAATATAATTTCACTTTTTTCCAGGTTGGGTAGAAAAAAACAAACATTACTCAATGATAAGGAAGCCTCTCCAGTCTCATCTTCTCTCAGAAAATTCACACTTTTTCCATTTTATTTAAAATTCACAACAGTTTACACTTACATAGAAACTTTCATCTTAGAGCATTTTGCAATCTGTATACATGCACCAGTATCGGACTCCTGAGTCATCTCAAGACCTATATGTAAATCCATGGTAGAGATCATCTCGAATCGAGGGATCGCCAATCAAAATCAATAAATAACATGCTACAAAAACAATGTGCAGAAGGTAAAACTTTAGCCAAAGGCACCAAATGAAACTCCTTCCTATGAAAAGTGAAGTGGGATCATTAATACTTCTGCAAAGAACACAGGATCTCAGTTAAGGTTCTACATTGAAATGTGACTATATACAAATAGCCCCCATTCCTGCTTAACTGATGTGCTTGCTGGGTGCATTCAGAGTCCTATCTGCTCAGTCTTCAGACAGAAACTACTTATTGCTTTTTACTCCTGTTAGCACTGCAGAGCCACCAAAACAAAGAGGGAATGGTTGGGTTTTATTTCTCCTGGTGCATCATTGATAGAACTAATGTTAAACCTTTTCAGGCTGACTGACACGGATTTTGCACAGGTGTCATTGAGGGCCTAATTGGCCATCAACACTTCAGTTAGGATAGTGATATATGATCAAGAACTCACCTTTACCTTCCAATCCCAGGTCAAGCCACTTACGGTGTACTCTACACAGTAGCAGAGAGGGTGCTTCTCGGTATGGGCAGGCACTTGTGCTAGCTTTATTCGAACTAATGTGCTAAAGATAGTGTGGCCGTGACAGCACTGGCAGTAGCTTGGGCTACCCATCCAAATATGTACGTGGGGGTTGGGCATGATTGTACTTGGGTGGCTAGCCCAAGCAGCCTTCCATGCCACTATGGCCCCACTGTAATTTTAGCAAGCTAGCTTGAGCAGAGCCAGCATGTCTGTCTGCTTATGCTGAGAAGCGCCCTCCCAGCTGCTGTGTAGACATATTCTTAAATAAAAGAACTTTTAACTTGTAAACTGGGTCCACAGGCTAAGGAGTCACTGAGCCACAATAATCCTACAGCTCCCTCTTGCCACTTCTAGAGTCATAGAGTAGAACCAAACTATAAGGTCTCACCCAAACGATGCCCACACAGTAAGCTGCATGGAACTAAATCTCTCTACCTCTAAAAGATTAAGGGCTGAGCCTTTCCGTCTGGGATCTATTTGAACCTACAGTTCCTGGAAGGCTGATATTTAGGCCCTCCTGTCTGGCTTTACAAACTAATTTTTTACCTTGGTGAACAAAGTTAATACTGGTATATTTGTAGTGGCTGCACATAGTCGTCTCCATAGTGGCCTAGAAGAATATTTTGCTAGCTGCTTTGCCGTACTCTCAAACCTAAGCATCTTTTATCCTGTTAAAACAAAAAACAGAAATTACATGCATAGTACGGTTTAATATTTCACTAAGCTATAGCTCAGAAAATCCAATAATAAGGCAGAAGTGGTGGTTCCATGGGAGTTCTGAAATACAAACTCAAGCAAACCATTTTCACAACACTTCTGTGTTCACAGCCTCCACATATTAATCTTAAAAAAAAACAAAAAAACAAAGTTTTACGATGCAGCAGCCATATTATCAATTTAATGTAATCCAAGAAGCTCTATTTAAAATTTAGATTTCATTTTCTTGCTGCAGTGCCTTTGCTAAATTCTCTAACACAAATGCTGACATAAATACATTACAATGTTTTAACTAGACATATGCCAGTAAGAATTACACAATACTAACAGAATGCAAAGTGCTATGCTTTGAACCACTGTAATCTTGCTGATTTGCTTGACACAAAATATTCTACTTACTCAAAATTATTCCATCAAACTAGTTCTGTATCTAATCAGAATGTTAAAATAATGCTTCCTGCAGCAAGTAAAAAAACAACAACAACAAACTACAGTCAAGATGATTTAACGTTAAGAGCGTGCAAATTGTCTCGTTCTTTCTGCAAGAGCAAACTAATTGATGAAAGATGTTGATGGCTTTAGAGTCTGTCTGGTTGTGGTTTTTTTAAGTGAAGTTAGTGCAGGTGCAGTATGCCATATTGGATACTGAAAACCTTCACCCATACAAGAGCATGAATAGCACTGCTTTCTCCATAATAGCCTACCAATGAGTCTTAACCTTGGCTTCTAAGGATCACCTGTAGGATTGAGAGACTTCTTTATACTCCATGCCTATTCATTCTTTGGCCTTTGAGTTACGATTGTCAGCAAAGATGTCAATTCTGATGGTGGTTATTGTGGATATCTATTCATTAGAAACTGCACTAGGACCACCCACCCATTTTACATAGAGTCAAATCCTACTGTTCTTATTTGGACAAAATTTACATTGGCTTTTGCTAACTATAGATGATAACTTTATATTTCATTTGAATGTATTTGAAAGCTGTGTTAAGTGAGGGGCACAACACAGAGCAAAAGGAATACTAAGCTGTGTATGAAAAGCATATTCCAAGAACCCTATTAAATAGAACTGAGTTGAAGTGTGCCCTAAACTTGGAGCATTAATACTGTAAAGTAGGGCTCAGTCAATATGTTAGGCGAGTTAAGAAAAACATGAAGTCCAGCTTCTTAAAGCTAAAGGAGCAGTTTTTCAACGAAGAAAAGACTTTACAGAGAGGTAATTTGCCCAACAGACCCTCCCATGACACAAGAACAAAATAATATATTGGAAGAACTGTGAATCTGAACATTATATTAAGTTAGTTAATTTTCTTCCTAAATGAAAAACCATACCAATAGTGATCCATTATCCTGACTGCACTGTCTAGGACTTTTGTCTTTTTTGGGGAAGCAAGGTAAGAACAATTTGCCATGCTCCCAGGAGAGTCTTAAGCAGAACATGTGCCACAGATGAGAGTTATATCTGCTAAAAAAGGGAAGTTATGTCTAATGTGCTAAATCACAACCTTGCAAAAGTGGTTTATCTGTAACTTGATGGCCTACTTTCAGATGCTGGAAAAGAATTTGGACTTGTCACAAACGTGCAAAAGAAGGAGTTTGAAATGAAATACATTGTAATGCACAGGCTGTTGTGATTGTGTTCCACTACTTCTTCAGGATGGAATCAGCTGCTCAACTGTGTGTCATATGCTCTATACTGCTAACAGACATTCTCCTGTAATTCAACTGGCAAGGTCTTCTGGAGCAGGAGGATCGGAGTTGTATCTTTGTTCTCACCACAAAGTTCCACGTGAATGTGATACACAACACAGTGCCATTAGTGTTGACTAGAAGTCCTTAGGCAGTGTGATGGGGTGTTCATCCTACACCAGCACCAAAAGGAAGCTGAGAAGGACCAATTAGTGTGATAGACCACACATGAGGGGTTTAGGCTGAAGAAGCAACCCCTGATTGGTGGAAGAAGCTCAGCTGAACGGGTGTGGGCTGGGCTAGTATGAACTCAGGAAGCTGGCAACAGAAAAGGCTACAGCCAGGAAGTCTGCAGCCACCCTCTGTGTACTAGAGGGGAAAGAGTAGGAACCTAACCCTGAGAGAAGGGTGGACTCAGGAGAGAGAAGGGTGAAGAGGAAAACAAAGGCACTGGAATCTTTGTAGAAGAGAGGGGAGGCCAGGCCAAAATCAGATTCCTGTGCCCGTTCTCCCCTAACTCCTGCATTCCCTCCCCTACCCCCAGGTAGTTGGTCTGCTACCTCTAGCGGTGGCACATAGCTCCCTAGGAACCAGCTGTGCAGCCCATCCTCCTCCTGCTCTTCCCACCAGCTGCCATCCAGCATCTGCAGCATTGTGATCAGCTCCCCTGCTGCAAAGCGCAGCCCCTGCTGGAGCCACTCTGCACTTTCCCAAGCCTTGCAGTTTAGAGGGGCAACGCCTCCCTACCTCCCCAAACTATGTCCATCTTAAAAAGTGGGCATGGTCCCCTGACCTGCCTGATTCTGGTGCTGGTGGAAGAAAACCTATGGGAGGCAGAGTAGGGAGCAGCAAGGTTGAAAGCTGAGTAGAGCTTGGCTGCACATTGTAGGGTCCCTGGGCTGGAACCTGGAGTAGTGGGTGGGCCTGTGTTCCCTTACCAGCCACTGACAAAGTGGCAGATCTTGGGCAGCAGGTCCAGTGTGACTCTATTTCCCCAGAAGGAGAGTCTCCATGGTGACCTGGCCGGCTGAGTCACAAAAAAGAAGCTGCAACTTCTGGAGCGAGAGAGGGGTTGCAGAGAGAAAAGAAAATGGAGGAGAGACCACAGAGGGAGGCACTGGACAGCTATTCCCCAGGGCAGCTGGGAGGAGACACCACTGGCACTGAGTGAGTACCCCATGATAGGCAGCCACAAACTTGTTCTCTTGAGCCATATGGCAATCTGTTTGTACAGGGTTTTACATAACTGAAGAGGTGAGCTTAGCAATGTGAAAATCTGATTGACAATAACTGGCCTCAGCAGTCATATTTAGGAATTTTTATGTCCACAATAGCAGTGAAAGTCTACCCAAAACTGGATATGTTTGGAATGATAAAATGCAGCATGTGGACCTACTTGCATCCAAGATAAAAATGTCAAATTAAATAGTTTGTATTAATTTTAAAACTTGGCAAAATACTTCTGCTACCAACCCAACAGCCAAGTTTGTCATTAAAAATAATATTTAAATCTGTGTATTTTTTAAGTGAAACCAAGAAAGCAGTATTTTCTGAGTTCAAGAATAGGTCTTCATTGACCAGGATTATTATTGATGCTAATGAATCACTACACTGCCAACTCCTCAAGCCTATGAGTTGTGGTTTCCATAACATCCAATGCACAAGTAGTAATATTAACTTATGTGCAATTCAAATATGAGTGAGCTTAAATGTCATTACTTATTAATAGATGCTAGACACAGCTGAAAATGCTAAGGAATTTCAACCTTTACATTGCAAATCAAACTTGTTTCCCACATGCCTTCCATGGAACTTACAGCCATGTAGCCTAAAGAAGAGCAGGAGCCCTGGACTCTGGTTTATTTGCTTGTGTGGTGTGAGATAGTGGGGCCCTACTCAGCAGTTATACTTGTATAAATTGGAAGTAACCCTATTAAAGTCAATGATCCCAATTGTGTGCTGTGTTCCACCCATTTTATGCTGCTCTATTGCCACACAGCATCTCTAAAACCTATATGGGGTTGGGGGAAGATGTCATCAGATGGTATAGAGCTGCCACAGCACAGAGGAGCCCTGAAGTCCCTGGTTCCCAAAATAGTCCCTTAGGGAAGCTAATGCAGGTTACAATAGCTGCCCCAACCTGTGCGAGGGAACTGACTACAGCTCCTGAAGAACAATTGAGGATCCGGCCCAGCGGAGGCTCTCTGTATTGGCTTCTGTGTTAATTCTCCTTCTGGTGAAATGAAACAAAGTTTTGGATAAAACCAAGTAATAGCTTATTGAATGTGCTGAAGGATAGATGGGGATGTAAAGTCTAGTTCCAGTCAGCAGCAAACTAATAAAAGGTAAGTACCCCAGATATTAACATCAATCATTGGGCCACATATATTCTCACCAATTCACACACGAATTCAGGTAACTCTTGGGCAGCTCTACAGTATCGCTTAAGTCGATCTAACTTACATCACGCAGGGGTGTGAAACCCCCTCCCCACAAGCAACGCAAGTTTTGCGCTGTCCACACCGGCACTATGTCGGCAGGAGACGTTCATGTCTTCACCAGACATGCTACAGCTGCATCAGTGCAGCTGCACTGATATAGCACTGTAGTGCACACTTGCCCTGAATAGTATCCGGATTCCATAATGTGACCAACCAGTCCCTAAGCCTGGTCTGCACCATTGGTAGGTAGAATGCACTGGTTCCACTGCTATGCAGAGTGCAAAAGTCCAATCTGTATCTTTCCTTTCCCTCTTGTAAACTGAAGTAGGGGAAGGATCATGTTGTGCAGATGCCCCACAGATTTCACTCAACGTGGGGAAAATCTGTGGCATGTGGGATTTTTTTTTTTTTTTTTGGTGGGTGTTTTTTAATGATGAAATTAAACTGCTAAACAATTAGTGAAAAACCTATCAGTACAGTCATTCTGGGAGCACTTTTTGACATTTAAAGATCCTTCTCAGGATCAGCAATACCTAAACAGGAAGCAAAGGAGCTTGCTAATGCCAAAATCCCTTTTTTCTCCATACTGTAAAGAGATGTTAATAACTTGACAAATATAATGTTTGGAAGATAAACTTGGCCTCTTCCAAGTTTATCTTCCAGAATGTCTACTACATTCCAGA